GCTGCTGAAATTCCCGTGGTATTTTGGGTTGCCCACACACACACACACACACATATATATATATATATGTATATGTATACATGCATGTATGTATGTATGCATGTATGTATGTATGTATGTATGTATGTATGTATGTTTATATATATATATAAACAGAAACCATAGTGAATATCCTTGAAGGGTGGGTTGCTTCAAGGTTCAGCTATTTCCCAAAACCCGGTCCATTTGTTCAAGGCCTGTACACACCGCAGAACCTTCCCACCTGTCCTCAGGTTTCTCCAAGACCTTTGTGTTCAGCAGCTGGGCTTGAAGCAAGAGCGCGTCGATCTGGACCCTGCTTGTGCTGATTGTGGTGCTGGTGTCTTCTCTTAGTCTTGCTTTTTGGGGCAGAGGGCTGTGGGGCCTAGTGCAGGGGCCCTAAGACTTAGACTAGGCTTTTATTCATTCTAGTAACAGTTTATTAAGGAGCCATACGGGCAGAAATGATAGTGGTACTTATTCAGGCTTCTACATCAGGGGTTTAAGGTATAGAGCCCAGGGCTTTTGGTGGTGTTTGTTTCTATTTCAGATGTTGCGTTCTGCTACGGTTGATTACATCTGGCCTTTACAAGGTCATACCAGAGCAGCCTGAATACTGTCTGGATTGGGGGGTGCGGGGTGCCTGGATACAAAAAGCTCATGAAGCTTCGGAGCCTGTCCAGCGGCATTGCTAAGCCAAACAGCTCAAGCCTAAATCCGTCACTCAACCCGGAACCCTTGGCCACACAATCCCCTAAACCCTAAAACCCTAAAGCCCTAAACCCTAAAACCCTAAACCCTGAACCCTAAAGCCCTAAAACCCTAAACCCTAAACCCCCAAAACGGCCAGCTTCAGGACTTTAGTTCAATTTAGCCACAAGCCCGAACCCCAAACCCCACCCCAAACCTCCCACTCAAACCACCTAATATAGGAGCCTAAATAACTACCAATTTTTTTGGGGGGCTCCTTGCTATGATTATACTACAAAGGAGCCCAGAACCCTATTCTAAATCATTAAGGCCCCTGAACCCTAAATCCGTATCGATTTGTTGAGGCCCCTGTACGATCGACCCTTTGATTCCAGCAACAAAGACTCGGCGCCCTGAAGCCTAAGACCGGGAGCTCGTAATCCTCAACCCCTCCCTCAACCCTTGTATGTAGGGGCCTTAATCATTATGTTCCTTTAAGGGGTTCCTCAAAAGGGATGCGATAAGGGCTACTATAGGGTTCTATAATGGGCCTTCATAACTAGAATAGGATTTTGGGGCCCAATATCCTATACTTACAATAAGGGTCCCCCAAAATAATATAGGTAATTACTTGGAAACCCTAAGCCCTAAACCTTCCTCTCTTCCTAGTATAGGTCTGAACCCCTCTCCCTAGCTGCTTGAGCCTACAGCCTAGCCCGGAACCCGCGAAGGCGGCGCGCCTCGGATTCCGATCCTTCTTGCCGAGGTCGTGAGACTCCTTTGAAAGGACGTGGAGGGCTTAGCGGTCTAGGGCTTTAGGGTTTTGGGGTTTAGGGCGTATAAGGGGTTAGGGGGTTTTAGTTGTAGGGGTTTAGGGTTTAGGGGTTCAGGGTTTGATTTGGGGTTCGGGGGCCGGAATCCCCCACCACCGAATACCCGAAACCCTCGGCCCTAAAAACTCTATTTAAATCCTGAAGCCCCCTAAACCCTAAACCCTAAACCCTAAACCCTAAATCCTAAACCCTAAACCCTGAAGCCCGCGACCGGAGACCCATGATCTCCAAGGGGCTGTGGCATGCTCGTCATTTCCGGTTTTGGGGCGTCGTCTTGGGTCATTGGTGCGCAGAACTTTACAAGTTTAGTTGCAACAAGTCGTTGTCTAATTCTAATGTAGGGGCCTCAATAATTAGAATAGGGTTTTGGGGGCTCCTTATTGAAATTCTAATATAATATACCCCCCCCCACCCCCAACTCTATACTAATTCCCTATATTGGGCCACTCCAGTTCCCAATCCTGTTTTCGCTCCAGGGAGCCGCCCGGCGGGCCAAGGCGTCCGCGGCTGACGCAAAAAACTGCACGGTTTAGGGTTTAGGGTTTAGGCAACTTCGCAATGCTCCGTTCGGCATCCGCTTGTGCAGTTGCCGGAACTGCAAGTGTATGATCTGCTTTGTGAGTGGGATCCTTCCAATAAAGATCTGAGAAACTCTGGCCCTAAAACCCCCAACATACTAAGGTTCATAATTTAAGAACCCTAATAAAGAGCCAGGCTTTCTTAATCAGGTTCCTACATTAGGGGTTTGTGAAGCTTCCCTCCGGGATCCTCAAATCAAAACAGCACCAGACTCTGATGGCCGGGAGCTAAGCGGAGCCCTAAACGCTAAACCCTAAACNNAATCCTAAATCCTATACCCTAAACCAAGCTCTTCTCTTGAGAGTGGGGCCGCCTCAACCTTTCAAAACGGGTATCAAGAAAGCCCATTAAAATGGGGCCTTTGCTCCATCCTCTCGGACGCAGGCTCAGCACTGCCACGAATTCTAAAAGAGCCGACTCTTGATCTTAGGGTCAAATCAGGGTGTTGGGACTGAGGGTTAATGGTCTTGGGGGTTTGGGGTGTAGGGCTTAGGGTATGGAGTTTAGTGTACAGGGCTTTTTGTCCCAGCCCGGCAGCTTTCAACGGGGATATAGGGGTCTGCTAATCTTCGAGCAGTTTCTTGGGGACTTCAACAAGAAAGGACCAGTAGAGCTGTGCAGGGCTCTACGTCTCGGGAATTGAACCCCCGATTGCTCACTCGGCAAAAGCTCTACACCCTCGAACCCATCACGAAACTCCTGAGTCCATGCCTCCAAACCCTTCAACTCCTCAAACTTACTCCCAAACCGACAACTCGTAGCCCCCATAATGTAAACCGCATATATGTGGTTTCGAAAACCTCATGTAGGGGTCGGTATCCCCTCAGGGTCCCATACACCAATCTATCATAAATATACCCCTCTTAAACCGATGCAAATCCAAACCGTAAACCAGAGCCCCACCTCCCCTCCAGCAAGACATAAAGCACCAAAGTCGAAACCCTCGGATGTCCTTGGCCAGCCGCTCTGCCTCCTCGAAGTTGTCGTCCTGTGCGGCGCCACACTAATTGCAAAGGTTCTAAATGGTGCATTGGGATAGACGTTTCTTGGCTGGCTCTTCTTGTGACGTTTCCAAAGTTTGAAAAAGTTGTAACTGTAAGGCTTGAAAGAATTTTCTGAGTGGTGTCCCATGAAGGTTCTACAAGCTGTATGTAAAGATTCTGAAATGAGGTTCCCGCATGATTGGGTTAATAAAGTTGTTGTTGAGATCCCAGAAGGTTCATATGCGGTTCCTCGCGACTTTTGAAGGCGTTGAACAACACTTCTAGGGTTTTAGAATTTTAGTGTTACAATGTCTTTAGCCGGCATGTCTGAAATCCCTTGGAAGGTCAGGCGGTAATGTTGGCAGGACAGGAAGACCGGAGGCTGCGTGGATCCGTGCAAAAGCCTAGGGTTTAGGGTTTAGGGTTTAGGGTTTAGGGTTTAGGGTTTAGGGTTTAGGGTTTAGGGAGGGCTAAGGTCCGAGCTTCTCTTGGGATACTTATCGCAACGTCAGGAAGGAAGGAAGGAAGGAAGGAAAGAAGCATTATAAGAATGACACTGGTACTCGTTCAGGCTTCTATATTGGCACCAGGCCCTAAACCCTAAACCAAAAACCCTAAAACCGTAAACCCCTAACCGTTCACCAGGCACCTTGATGTGCAGGTTGGCAAGCTGCATCATGGCATTCGCCTGCCGTCTTCGCTTGTTCTGGTTCGAGGTCCCAGGACAGGAACGAACAACACCTATACTATAGGAGCCTGATTTAGAAGCCCGGTGTGTTAATCAGGGCCCTTTATATGGGTCATATAGTGGAGATGTTGACGCTTTTTAAGGGCCAGGGTTTCTTAATCAGGTTCCTACATTACCTAAACCCCTGAGCCACCAATACAACCCAAATCCTGCATCCTGCCCTTAGATCCAACATACCGAAATCCCTGCTTATGGTTTTCCACGAGACGTAAAGAAAGCATTCATGCATGCATACACAATTACATACTTACTTGCCTACTTGCTCGCGTACTTGCATATGTACTTACTTACCACCTACCTACCTACCTACCTACCTACCTACCTACCTACCTACCTACCTACCTACCTACTTACCGACTGACTTACTTGGACACACATGCATGCATACATACATACACTCATACACAGAGAGAAAGGTAGATTCCCGAATTAACAGTACGTTTTTGTTTCAATCATGTATCCTTACAAAGCCCGATTGTTCCGGCATAGGGGTGAGGAATGATGCTGGATGAGAGAAGGAAAGCACAAACTTCCGCACTACACAATCCGTGCTTGGATCATCGATGAATAGCAGCAGCCATGATCTATCCAAGCTCCATTGTCGGGTGCTACCTCCCGGGGTCCAACGTAAAAGCTTTGTACGTCTCCTCCGACTCTGGGTTTAAGGCTTGCCCGCCTGACTCTCCCGGGGTGTCACCTGTCGTAACTGACATAAAACTAATGTAGGAGCCTTAATAATTAGAATAGGGTTTTGGGTACCTTTATAGTATATTTATAATAAGGAACCCTAACAATATTATTGGTAATTGCTTAGGCCCCTATATTGCAACAATTATTTTCTATGCCAGTCATACTACCGTAGACCCTGATTTGTCAGAAAACTTCCTCTATGAGACTCTAAGCAGAAAGAAGGGTCCTAATTTCAAGTCCCATCAAAAATGGAAAGGCAATCTTTCGACCAACCTGGGATGCACGTCACACCGCCGTTTCAAACAAAAACAAGTGGGGGGTTCTTCGGGTCGAGCTCCAGATCTAGAATTCTCAAGAACTAGAATTTTCAAAAATGAGACCAAGACCGAGTGATCTCGAATTGATCCGCTGTGTTCGAAACTCCTGATGCCTGACCCTACACCCTTTGGACCCCAACCCACTAGTCTCAAAACCCCCAAACCACTAATCAGTAAACGGCCCTGAACCTACGATACTGCCCTAAACCCTAAACCCTAAACCCCAAAACCCGAAGCCCTACGATACCACGAGGAAACCCTACACTGCTTCTTCACCGGCCTCCATGCTCAAATCGTGCAGCGATCGAAGCACCTGACCATCTCTTGTTTAGGGTTTAGGGTTTAGGGTTTCGGGTTCAGGGTTAATATTTAAGTGCTTTGTTTTGGTGGTCCAGAGCTTTTTAGGTCTAAGGTCCATAGGGTTCGAGATGTAGGGGTTGCGATAGCGATACGTTTCAAGCATTGCTTCAGCAGCGCATTCAGGTTTAGGGCTTGGGGCCTCAGCCTTTGCTAGGGTTTAGGGTTTAGGGTTTAGGGTTTGGGGTTTAGGGTTTAGGGTTTAGGGTTTAGGGGCTGTTTAACGGCACAGCACACTCAGAGAGCAGCTCAGATAAACTAGTGATCGCATTGGCCTAGTACTTCTGAAACAGGGGCTATGCGGGGTTACTATTGCTTAGACTACGCGACGCTGCAGGGCCTCTGTGAGGCTTCCTTTGCCCGGAGCTCGCTCGGCAAGACAAAAACTCTAAACCACCCCTACCGGACTTGGAAATTGAATGCGAGCGTTTTTGCCACAAGAATAAGGACCCTAAATCCTAAACCCTGAAGTCTAAACCCTAAAACCCCACATCCGAAGCCCCAAACCCCACATGATTTGATGACTAGGGTTTGCAGGGGAGGACACTTCCATGGGCCCCCGTGCCTCTGGCTCCTCGGCTTAGTAAAGTCTCACATTTCAGGCTTGAGGGTCTAAGGTTCAACTAGTCCGAAAGCCTTGTGTAGCATGGTCTTTGGGCACAGATGCCTTCAGGTATGTGCCCCTTTGTGCTTCACGGAATTGGTGTTCTGGTGTTCATTCTCCAAACTCCAAGCCCTATCTATGCTCAAGCTGTCCCTGTGAGCCCTGGCCCTTGTTGTATCGCAGACCGAAGTCCTACACCCTGCAAGCACAAGTGCATCCTTAACAGAAACCCAAAGGACCCTAAACTAAACTAAACCGCTAATCCCTAAACCCATAGAGAACCCACATAGAACCTTAAAGTGAACCCTTTTCTAGGGATCTCACTGCCCGACAGCTTGCGCCGAGATACTGCGAGGCGCTCTTCGGCGTTCTCCAGGGCTGCATCAAGGTCTCCCATCTGACTGCCTGGGGAGGCTCTTGGGCCCTTTGGTTCATGCCTGGGCTTAGGGTTTAGGGTTTAGGGTTTAGGGTTTAGGGTTTAGGGTGTAGGTTTTAGGGTTTAGGGTTTAGGGTTTCAGGATATACTTGGACCCTACCTATAGGCTCATACCCTACCACCTTTTTTTTTGCATACCTACTTCTCTACAAATGAGAAATCCAGGTCACAAAACTAGGTACCTTAAACAAGGGGTATTGAGGTAAAAATAGACCTATATGCGAATCCCCACAAGGTCAAAGTGCATGTCATACAAGTACTTGGTACCTTTCGGATAGGATAGTTGGAGAAGGCTTCCACGTGCGAGGCTTCCACATAGCGAGCTATGTCCACTGTTGCCGCGTCCGGGCGGAGCGCACAACCTTACAGCTCCTCTGCGCCCCCAAGCTTGAAGCTACCGATTTCGCAAGATTGTCCGTATCCATATGCAAGATATATCTCTAGTATCAGACGATGCTATTGTCTGTACGTGTGGTGTGTGTTTGTGTGTATATATGTATATACCAACACACTCTCTCTTCCGAAGAACACCTACATATGCATAGTGTGTGTGTGTACTGTGTGTATGTATGCATATGTATGTATGTATGTATGTATGTATGTATGTATGTATGTATGTATGTATGTATGTATGTATATATAATACATATCTTAGCATCATAACTATAACGCGAACACAGTCCCCAAGTTTGTGCTCCGTCGGTCTTCAGTTCATCTGTCGGAAGTGCGAATCCGGAATCGAACCCTGCCAGAGTTTCTTAACTAATGGTTCAGACCCCTATAGATTCGACTAAACCGCTCGAAACCGGGAACTCTTCATGGCGGACGCCTATGTACTGCACCCTAAACTCGAAACCCTAAACCCTAAACCCTAAACCCTAGCCCCTAAACCCTAAACCCTAAACCCTACACCCTAAACCCTAATGAAACCCTAACCTTTGGACAAAGGCAGCAACCGCATCGCTCGGGGCCAGGCGCAAATCTGCCATAAAGTGAAGGCATTGCGCCTTAGGGCGGCGCGCGGGTTTTTGTCAGCTGATACGGTTTTAGGGTTCAGGGTTTAGGGGTTTAGGGTTTAGGGTTTAGGGTTTAGGGTTTAGGGTTTAGGGTTTAGGGGATAGGGTTTGGGGTTTCAGAGTTTTGGTTTACGGCTCAGGGCTTCTAAGGACGATGCGGCTGCTGAAGCATCTCACGCCCGAAAACTGCACGGTTAAGACAAGGCCAAAACCGTGCAGCCTAAACCCTAAACCCTAAGCCCTGAAACCCTAAACCCGAAAACCCCTGAACCCTAAATCCCTAAACTCTAAAAACCCTAATACCCTTACACTAAACCCAAAGCCCTACACCCTAAGCGCTAAAGCCCAAACCCCCAAACCCTTGAATTACACCCTGAAGCCCTAAACCCCTGAACCCCACAGCCCTCAACCCTAAACCCTAAACCCTAAACCCTAAACCCTCAACCCCTAAAACCCTTAAAATCCCAAAACCACGAGGCTGCGCCTCACCACGGGGCCAGTAGGACTCCTGGAAGAACTCTTGGGCCTGCTTGGCAGACCTCGCTTCGGTTTAGGGTTTAGGGTTTAGGGTTTAGGGTTTAGGGTGTAGGGTGTAGGGTTTAGGGTTTAGGGTTTAGGGTTTAGGGTTGAGTTGGGTTTAGGGTTTAGGGTTTAGGGTATAGAGTGTAGGGTCTAGGGGCTGCCGGGTATAGGGTTTAGAATCCCGAAACCCCACGGTTCAGGGTTGATCCCTGCCAGATCTCGTTGTGGGCGTAAGGGGCTGGGGGATTCCTTGAAAAGTACGGTTGATGATATACATCCTGCATTACCTTAAGGACACTAAACTATGGGAATGATGGTATTTTCCTTATTATGGGTAATGCCTAAACTATGGGAATGATGGTATATTCCTTATTATGGGTAATGCAGGATTTATATCAGCGACAGTATGCAAAAGGGTTTCTGGCAGATCTCGTTTCGGGGAGGCTGCAGCATTCCTCCAAAGGCTCCACTGAGGATTCGCAAAAAGGGGGGGGGGGGCGTAAGGGCTTCTAGAAGGGCCAATGTAGGGGCCTTAATAAATAGAATAGGGTTTGGGGGTATATTGTACTGTAATAAGAACCCCCCCAAAAAAATAGTATTGGTAATTATCAAGGCCACTATAATATTGTTATACAAGGACTCGGGTTTAGGGTTTAGGGTCGGATTGAAGGTTCCTTCCCAAGCCTACGTCCTGAACCCTAGACATTCGACCATACCCTAAACTCCGGACATCTCAACACATAGAGCAAAATCCTACACTAAACCCTAAACCCTAAAACTCTGAACACCTAAAGCCCTGAAGCACTATACTCCCTCTACTTAAACGCGGAGCTCCGGTCTGGAGTGCCCTTGTAACACCAAGCAAAACAGCCCCTGAGGTCCGCTTCAAACCCTAAACCCAAACCCCTAAAACCCTAAACCCTAAACCCTAAACCCCTAAACCCCCTAAACACCCATAAACCCCTAAACCCCCATAAAACCCTAAATCTCTGAGATCCGGTCTGCAGGGCTTCCTCCCGCTTCCCCATGGCACCGTTGGACATGGCTTCCCGGAGCACCGCCCTGGGTTTAGGGTTTATGCTTTAGGGTTGAGGGCTCAGAGGGTTTGGGGTTTAGGGTTGAGGGTTTAGAGTTGAGGGTTGAGGGTTCAGGGATTAGGATTTAGGGATTAGGGGTTGAGGGTTTAGGGATAGGGTTTAGGGGTCAGGGATTAGGGCACCTTCCATGGTTCTAGAAGGGTTTTGTGAGGGTTCGATATGGTATGACGCACGGCATGAAGGTTACTTTCCTTGTGGTCCATGGACCTATGTAATAACATAGGTCCCACGGGTCCTCCTACATAGGTCCTTCAGGAAAGTGCATACTCCATGAGCAAACGGACCCCAAGGCTGCTGTTATAGTTTCAATCAAGCCACTAAAGGAGCTAAACTTAAACCCCGAACCCTACCCCAGAACCTTAATACAAGTACCTAACCTAGAACTTCCAGAACCTCCTGCTTTTGGCGCTTTTGGGGGCTTGGGGAGGGAAGTCCTGGAATAAGGCTTTAGCAGCTCCCGCTCGATTTCGTATCTTTGCCGTTCAGTCGACAGTGCTGCCTTTCGTGGACGCACCAAAGCGATGGTCCGGATGCTGAGGTACTGTCATGGTGATGACCCCATGAAGTCCAAAACCACCAGAAACCTTTTCTCCATGCTCCGTTACTTGACAAAAAAAACTGACACTCGAAACCCTGGACACTCGTGATATGGGGTCGGGATAAGTACTGAGAGGACACCAGTGATATAGCGGGCGGAATAAGTACTGAGAGTATTCTCTTATATCACTAAATAGTCATACCACAGGTTGAAAGAAACCCG